ACACACACACACACACACACACACACACATATACATACACACACACACACATACATACACACACACACACACTCACCACTGACACACACACTCAAAAACACACACACTCACTGAAAAACACACACACACACACACAAACACCCACACACACTCAGAAAAAACACACACACAAACATATACGTACACACACACACACACACACACACACACACACACACACACACACACACACACACACACACACACATATACACACACACACATATACGTACACACACACACACACACACATACACACACACACACACACACACACACACACACACACACACACATATACATACACACACACACACATACATACACACACACACACACTCACCACTGACACACACACTCAAAAACACACACACTCACTGAAAAACACACACTCATTGAAAAACACACACACACACTGAAATACACACACACACTCACACAGGTTTGTTTTTGTGAAAAGTGGGGACTCTCCATAGGCGTAATGGTTTTTATACTGTACAGACCGTATATTCTATTGCCCTACACCAACCCTACCCCTAAACCTACCCCACACAGGAGACTTTCTGCATTTTTAGATTTTCAAAAAACTTAATTCTGTGTGATTTATAAGCTTTTGTACCCGTGGGGACAACAATTTAGGTCCCCACCGTGACACGAGTCCCCATGAGTCTGTGTGTAGTCAGGTTTAAGTCCCCAGCAGGATATATAAACCAGTGCATGCTCACCACTGACACACACACACACACTCAAAAACACACACACACACAGAGAGACAGAGACACACACACACACAAACACACTCTATTTTGAAGAGAGAAATATCTTCTTTTGCGTTCAACAGAAGGAAGAATCTCATACAGGTTTGGAATCACATGAGGGAGAGTAAATGATGATCGTTTGGGGTTGAACTTTTTTTTATTTATTTTTTTCTCATCTCCATAAACATACGATGCCGGTGCATCTCTGATTTGTTGTTGGACTACCATTACGCTCGTATTTCTTCTTCGCTGTGAATTACTATTTCCATTCATCTGACCACCTGGGAAGTGCCACTACAAGAAGTCTGGAGGTACTGCCGCTCCGGTAAGCCAAAGAAACACACAAAGAAGAAGCACTCAAACAAACACACACACACACACACACACACACACACACACACACACACACACACACACACACACACACACACACACGCAAACACACACAGTCACACACACACACTCTTCAAAATATCTTCTTTTGCGTTCGACAGAAGGAAGAATCTCATACAGGTTTGGAACAACATGAGGGAGAGTAAATGAAGTCAGAATGATCGTTTGGGGTTGAACTATCACAATGTTATTTTCAACATTTACCAAAAGTTGTGTCTGTTCATATTATTTAATGAACCTGAACTAAACATGAACTACTAATAAACAGTTTTATTTCTATTCACTATATAAACAAAGATGAATAAATACTACAAAAAGTTTATCACTCATTGTTAGTTAATAATATAAACATTAATTCAATAGATAATTAATAGAATGGATAAACATTAATGCAACATATCTAATTGTTCCCATGACAAAAAGCATGGCAGTGTTGCAGTGATGCAGTAAAACATTAATGGGACAGTGAAGTGTGCTGTATTCAGGCAGACAGTGATGCTGCACTGATGCTTCTGTCTCTATGGCAACTGAGTGACATCAAATCAGTGTTCAATCATCGTGAAACTGCTCCTGACACACAACACGCGTGCAACTGACAGACGCACCATCAGCGGCGTTACGATCTGCAGACGCCGTTATCAGGACAGAATGCCTCTTGGATATAGAGATCAACGCTTCCACGAGCTAAAATCACATCCACACCGATCACTAGAGCCGACTGTGATTATTCCATCTCATCTCAACCACAATCACATGTTGTCATATACAGTAAATATGGGAAATTATATGTTTTTTCAGTCTCTGTCAGTGCTAAGACTGCTTAACACACTGCAAGTTGACTTTATTTTCACATTCATGCAGTTCATTCACTCTTGACTGTAACACACTGACAGGCATTGTTGGTGAATCGATCACCTGTCGAACGTCATAATGGTGAGCGTTTTATGGGAGGAGCAGGTCATTCATTGTTTTGCTTCAGTCAGATGTTGAGATCTCTGATGGACAGAAGCAGCACTCACTCACCCCTTCCGCTCTCTCCTCGGTGTTAGCCAGCATCTCCTGCAGCGCTCGTACAGACAGCGACTGCTCCAGCACAAACGTGCATATGGACAGATCCGGAGGAACGTTCTGGAAACACACATCATTCAGCTCAGCTCATGTTTAAGAAGCATCGCTTTATGTATTCCTCAAGTGTAAGTCGCTTTGGATAAAAGTGTCTGCAAAATGACTAAATGTAAATGTAATGTTTAACTCTTGTGTTATGCTCAAAGTTTGAGCACAATTGTGACCCTGGAGCACAAAACCAGTCA